TCTTCCCCTTCCCTCCCTGTTTCCTTCTCCCCCCTCCCTCCCTCTTTCTTCCCCTTCCTCCCCTACCTGTGTAGTAGCGTGGCCGAGGCCTGTATAGTCGGCGGGTACAGGGAGCTTTTGTTTCCTGTACCCGGCCGGACTAACAGGAAGTGAACACTCAGTGTTTCCTGTACCCGGCCGGACTAACAGGAAGTGAACACTCAGTGTGCACTTCCTGTTAGTCCGGCCAGGTACAGGAGACAGATGCTCCCTGTACCCGCGGACTATACTGGGCTCGGCCACGCTACTACAGAGGGAGTGACAGAAGGGAGCGCTGTGCGCTGAATGCTCCCTCCTGTCAGCCCCTCTCCTCAGGCTGCGCCCGGGCGGTGCGGTCCGCCCTCATAGACGCACCGCCCGGGAAAAGCTGCAGCCGCCTGAGGCTCTTTACAGAGCGCTCGGGTGGCTGCAGCATGGGGGGGCCAGCGCTCCTGGTGGCGCCCCCTCCCAAGGGGCACCCTAGGCGGCTGCCTAGTCCGCCTTACAGGTAGCGCCGGCCCTGATCTCTGGCTATAGTCATTCCACATTAAAAGGCATAGGTAACGTTTCCAATTTCAGTACAACCTTATGGCTAACTGAAAGTTAGCTATTGGTTGCGCAATTTAAAAAATAAAAATAAAAAGTAAATTTAATTTAGATGGTTTGTTGGTTTACTCAAATTAGTTAACGCTTGTGCTGTATACACAATATGACGTCTATGGCACTGCTGGAGAAAATGTGTTGCTTGCATGTATACTCTGATAGATGATTTAGCACACATGTGCCTGCCTGAGACATCATGGGGTGGAGGAGTCACAGCAACGCAGAAATGTAGCAGAGGTAAGTATGTGAAGGGGAGCTGTATTACGCTAGTGTATACACTGTTGTCTTTATAGTTGTATCCCTGTGTATCCTTCTCTGAAAGTGATAATACATTTTTTAGAGAAGTATTCCCATAACCCCCTTTAGTGCTTGAAATGTAGGAACCCAGACATTCAATGTTTCGGCTCTATATAAAGTGTAAAATGTCAATATCAACCACGGGACTCCAGTTTAATAATAGAGAGTATTTTAATATACTATTCATGTGTTACTTCTTCAAGACAAAAGGGCTCTTTGTCTAACCCTGTTGATATTTATTAAAAAAACTATTTACATTTAGGAAAAATAAAAACACTCTGCCACCTATGTTATATAAAATGGATTATTGCACACAATATAATAGGTCGATTTGTCACTTTAGCGCAATAGATTTTTGTGTAAATATAAATAATATATTTTCCTTTAGTTTGGTTGTATCTACTTTTAGTTTTCTCCCCATCCCTCTCGGTCTCCCTCTCCTTATTCTATCTCTCTGTCTCTCTCTTTGTTTCACTCTCTCACTCTCAGTCACATTGTGGAAATCTCCACTATATTTTATGTTTTGCTATGACTTGGAAACCCCACTCAGAACTTCCTCTCTCTGTTTGTATATAAGTTTCCAACAACAGAGTTCTGTGACAAACGCTCTCAAGCTCCACTGGTTGACACTCACTTCTCTCCTCTGCTACTAGAAAATGACTAACATGCCTTCAGTAAGCTCAGCGGACCCAGAAAGCCAAAGAACCCCACACAGGAGGAGCCGCTGCCTGGATTACTTTCTTGTGATCTCTCTTGTGGTGCTGACCATGGCGGTAGGATCATTATGTGCCCTGTATTTTGTTTGGGAGAAACCCAGTCTGGGCTATCAAATAACGGGAATCAAAGACTCACAGGTGAGTGAATTTGTAATCTTAGTCTAAAAAGATCTGTCTGTTTGTCTGTGTCTATCTAGCTATCTATCTATCCATCCATCCATCCATCCACCCACCAATCCCTCACCCATCCATCCATCTATCTATCTATCTATCTATCTATCTTTCTGTCTATCTATCTAACTGTCTGTCTATTTGGAGAGACATGATAATTATTATATGGAACAACAAGCAAAGTAGAAATGTATCTTTGGGTTTGTAGCGATGCTGTGTTAAACAAAACATTATAGCATTTCATCTATGTTTTATGGATCATTTTATTATTTTATGTGAATGGTAATTGTACTGCATATCTACTCCCTGAGTTAAAACAAGTTCTCTTTTTAATTTATTTTTTTTAATTTTTTTTACAGAAAAGCAGTGCTCATCTTGTGGCTAAAAATGGTAAGGATTATTTTAAATACTTTGAAATATATATTGTATTAAAGATGTATTTTTAATAGCTCCCAACAGCAGACTGAATGGAAGAAAACAATACATTTGTAATGGCTAGCTTTAGTGCCCGGGTGTTATTTCCTATAATAGCCTCTTAGCCTTTAGACAGGTTGAGTGCTGAGTGATTTGTAGATCACAAATATATTGGATGTGACAGTTTGCCATCAATGCACTAAACTGTATTGGCATTATACTGCAAAAGAAAAACATTCGGGAGATATTTGTCAGTGTACATCCAGTCACCCCAAGTTTATTCACCACATAAAAGTAATATATATGAACAGTACTATGCAAAATATAATAATAGCAATAGGTGTATAACATCTCTCTTTCTTTCCTTACAGTTCTCTTACAAAACACAACCATGGAATGGAATCCTAAAGGAGTTGGAGATATGTTAGTCGGAACCGGTTTTAAGGAAGCTCCTGAAGAGTTAAAGGTTACCAGATCCGGCCTTTATTACATCTACTCCCAGATGAAGTTGAGATGTGTAGACATAGATGAATGCAAAAAGACAGGATCCGTGTCTGTCACTGTACTGATAAATGGAAATAAGGATGAACCTCTCCTGGAGCTCAATATCCAAATCTCTGAATCATCCAAGAATGTCATCCCTACTTCTTTCTCCGGGCGTTTAAAATATCTGTCTAGTGGCGATCGCCTGAGCTCCCATCTCTGGACTGACCAGGAACACGAAGATTGGCATTTGGATGCGAAGGAAAATAACTTTCTAGGACTCTTCTGGGTCAGTGACATAAGTGGTATGGGACTCTCCCATTGATCACTGAAAGGTTGATACGATGAACACTTCTCTAATGTGAGAGAACCTCCAAGAATTTTGCACTACTGGGAAGTCTCTAAATAATATATGTAGGCTAGATCATTCTCAGTCTACAGGAGCTTGGGTATCCCTCGAAAGTTCAGAGATACAGTCCTGGCTGTTTTTGTTATCACTGTGTGATAATTGCCATAGAAGTGGTAAGAGCATTCACACTAGTGTCTAGTGTGATAATCTAATTACAGGTAGACCACAGGAGATCAAACTAAGGCTTTTATAAAGTGTCTAAGTCTCTAAATAGGAAAGTAGCTCCCATAACGAGCTAAATTCCAATTTTTAAAACTGTTTTTGCTTTCTTATTTTTATATTAAAATTATTTTATTTTTTTGTATTTCTCTCTCTTTTATGTATACTTTTTCAGGTAGGGATAGGTATTTTCTTTCATATGTAAGCGGTGTGCACAAACTATATAACACTAGTTGAACAATGAATACCTAAAAAGTAAAAGACAATATTGATTAATAAGAACAAGAGTTTCCAACTGATTTAAGGAACTCTAATGTATCACTGCTTAGTACAAATTCCTTCTTTTGATTGAAAAGACCAAAATTTGCCTTTTTGAGAAGGTCTTAACCAGTCTTTTTACCCAGGTTTTCACTTCTCACTGTCTCATTCTTTTTCTTACTTGACCTGTCTCTACTATGGATTATACTCTATCTCTCACAAATTACCCCCATTCTATTAAAGTGCATTAAGAATACAGTGACAGTAAAAATTTGAAGACAAATGGGTTATACAAACAAGGATAGTTTATTTTTTCTTATTGGATGCTTACAGGGTGTTTTAAGGGATGCCATAGGCACCTTGATAAAATATCCATTAAGAATACAGCCACAATAATAATTTAACAAAAAAAAAATGTTTTAAATAAAATTGTTTAGATTTTTTTCTCATTGGATGTTTTAAGGGATGCCAGAGGCACCTCGATAAAATATCCATTAAGAATAGTTACAATAATAATTTAACAAAAACATTTTTTAAATAAAATTGGATAGTTTTTTTCTCATTGGATGCTTTTTAGGGATGCCAGAGGCACCTCGATAAAATATCCATTAAGAATGAAGTTACAGTAATCATTTTTTTTTAAATGTATATGTATAAAATTGGATAGTTTTTTTTTCTTTTTGGATTGTTACATGGTGTTTTAAGGGATGCAAGAGGCACCTCGATAAAATATCTTGTAAGCAATAAACATAAGATGGGCAGGTGGCCCTGTCACTTAAACAAGATGTTCATTTTTTATTAATTGGTGTCTATAGGATATTTTAAGAGATGCCTGTAAAGCACAATTTAGAGTTATTAATCAAGGCAAAAATAGGGCATAATCTAGGTATATCTGTATCTAGGGCATATCTGCACAATAAATAACGATCAGCATTGAATTCATTGGTAGCACCTGTTAGCCTTGATAAATAAGTTTCTGTGTATAGACTTACGAGTACACTATAGGCACCTCGATGAATACCCTGTAGACACACAATAATAATTACATGTAATCTGCTTTAAAATGCCTTTCTGATTCTTAGCACAAAGACAAAGGTCACATAAACTGTGTAGGGTAGAGGTCCATTTATAGACGTCTGTAGGGTCTTTGTAGAGATGCCTTTTTTAATCCAAGTATGAAGAGCTAATATATCATCACAGGCACCTCGATAAGATACTCTATAGACACATAATAATAAAAAAATTATTGTAAAGTATGCTTTTTGCATTTTTTTTATAAAATGTTCAATATGTTCTCGGATATGTTTTTTTTCATTAATGGTTTCATGTAGTGCCTTTTATGTACAGATCTTGCTGATAAAAATCAATAGGCACCTCGACTTTTAAGTACCCTATGAACTGAAACATAACACTGACATAACACATCTTTAAAAAAAAAGTAAAACATACAATAATTATTGCCTTCCTGATAAATATCCATGATTTATAGAAAATGGTTTGTTGTTTGATACATATATCACATTTTTACCCCAATATCTCATATCTCTATATAATTTGCTATATCTACTTGAAGGCATCTGCTCCAGTATAACTTCCACAATACCTCTTCCCTGTTTTTTCTAATTAGTATTTATCTGCCACTTTTTTGTAAACTGAGTGTTTGTTTCATTATTTATTTATTCAAATATTTATTTATTTAATGTTTTTATGCAAGACAAAAATGAGATTTTTTTTGTTTTAAATAAATTGTATTTATTTTATTTGCCTGTTGTATTTTAAATATATTTATTAAATATTTATCAACTTTAATTCATTTTTTGGTTATTATTGAAGGTACTAGTATGTAATTGGTATAAAGTGTTTATAGTGTAAATGCCTGAAATGCACTCTACACTATAGAGCACTCTCCCAGATTTAAAGTGTTAAGAAAAACAGGTGTGACTATGGCAATTTCCCTAAATTTAGGGTATTATCAGATTGTGTTTAGCTACTTGAGATGATCAGATACCCTAATTAGGAAGCATCACTAAGGAGACTGGCAATGTATACTTCATCATGAGATAGGAGTGCAATCCTCAAAGTGTTCGCTCACAGACCCAAATCATAGAATTTAGATAAGTGAGCTATAAAACTAATGGAAAAATAATCTTTATTACATTATCAACCTGGAAACCCTGCTTTCAACCCCTGACAAGAATTCCTCTTAGTCAACATGTTATCAAGTCTACTTGATGGTGGAAAGGTCAATACGAGAAACATTAGGTGCAACCTAATGTTTCTCTAATTTGGAATAAAGAACATCTGCTTGAAAGATGTCCTTATAGGTCACAATTGAAACATTAATTTAAAAGTCTGATTCTCAACAATTTTTGTTTTTTTAAAGACAAACAATATTTTTTTTATGTAAGAAATACAACTAGCAGTGATAAGGAGAGAATAATTATTGCATATAGTCTACTAGGAATATTTTCAGAATGTGGACTATGGTATGGTGTTATCTTGTGTTAGGGGACCACATTAGTAAGACATTACACCCCAAACAAGCTTACCAATAGAATGCAAAATGCAGGTCTGTAAGACATTGGTCATCTAGTACCAATTTTCTATATAGAGCACTCTCCCAGATTTTTCCCCAACATAATATACATACAGGCGTCCGTGAAAATAGAGTCCCAGTTGTACGATCAGCCATGGATTAGAGTCATTTTCTCTCTTTCAGCCCTCTAAGACCTTAAACCAACACACGGACCTATATTGTGGAGAATCATGTAGTATCATATAAGATATGCACATATACACACAAAGCTTTCCTAAATGTGTTCATATTTATTGCCTCAACTGATATGTTTCATAATCGAAAATCACATTGGAAATCAGGGAACTCCGACAGCAAGTCTTTGAACAACAATTTAAGTCATATTTAATGGGCTCACAAGTTGTTGTTTTTTTAATGATATAATTCCTGTAGAACATCCTAGTAGATCCTTAGTTTTGGATACATGCAAACTAAATGCAATACTTTGCATTCTGCAACTTGATGTTTAGCACTGTATAGAGATCACAGAATAAATACATCATTGCCTCTTTGATCTGGATCAGATACTGAAAATTGAGTTCAAAGTATAAGTGGGATGTGTGCCAATGGTGTCATAGATCTCCCATATTTTCCCTTTAGGGGCTTGGCTGCTTAGGTTACTGAGGAATTGAGAATATAATGTATCTTGTAAAATAATAATTATAATAATAATAATAATAAAAAGGTGACCTCAATGGTAAATTGGGAAAAAGTTAGTGCATCTGAGATTTCTGGGGGGTTTTTTTGTTCTTTTTTTAATAATGCTACTTTTTCTCCATAAAACCACTGGTGAATTAGCACAAGAAGTATAAACTGAATTATTATAAATCTCTCCAGTTAGTCTGCTGTTTAAAATATTGCATAATGATTAGAAGAATAATCTGTTCAAATAATGTAGAGTAGACCAACAAAATCTTATTAATATATTAATTGTCAGAGCCATTCACTAATTAGCATATAACATGAGATACATTGTATAGTTATTAACAATTAAAGCAATTTTAGTCAATGTATGCATGAAACTCATTTGTCATTAGAAAAGTTTTTTGTTTTTTTTAAGTTCCGATGTTCAGATGTAACAGAAACTTTCTTCCAAGATGGAAAGGAAACCAAAGTGTGAACCAGCAGAAAATGTCACCACATCCTCCCACTCGAGAGGCAGACAGTACATGTGTGTGTTTGTGTGTGTATGTCTGAGTTAGATGCATATCTGTAATTCCGTAATGTTTCTACAGTGCTCACAGATGGTGAATGATAAAAATGTTTGGTTAGGTAAGAAGAATAGGAGACACATCTCACTTCTATTAACTTATGTTCAAATCTATCTATCTACAATTGTCTGACCAAAACAGTCCTGCTTCATGTCATAAGTCAATATTGCAGTGTCCAAACTTAGCACTAGTGCAAAATTATGCTTTTTTTTGTCACAAAATGTAAAACGACACTACGTGATTCCAAAATGTCATTGTATTTCTTAGGGACCACAAGCTATTGCCCACTTTTTTTTATAATTCTATACAGATTATCTTGAAAAAATAATTTAAAAAAAGATAATTTTGCTTTAAAAAAAACAGATAATATATATATATATATATATATCCAATCAAAACCTTTTTTTTATTATAAAATGCAATGAGTATTGTATTAGTTATGCTAAAAACAAGATGGAAGAGTGAATAAAAAGTAATGGACAGGTCAACTTTTCTTAAAGGAACACTATAGTGCCAGGAAAACAAACATAGGGTTATTAGATCCCCCCTCCCTCAGATCCCCCCTCCCGCTTATTAGGGTTGTTAGATCCCCCCTCCCTCGGAGCCCCCCCTCCCTTCAGCCACTTACCTGAGGGAGACAGCAACTAGAGGCTGGTTTAACTCTCAATGTAAACTTAGCAGTTTCTCTGAAACTGCTATGTTTACAGCTGCAGGGTTACAACTAGGGGGGACCTGGCACCCAAACCACTTAATTGAGCTGAAGTGGTCTGGGTGCCTATAGTGGTCCTTTAAGTAAATATAAATTCAAAATGAGTTTCCAGAAGGTGGTAAATATCCAGTTAGCTTGGGATCTTCAACATTTCTTCAAATATCAGTTATAAGGAGATTCACCTGTCATTCACTTTAGGGACACTACTAAATCCCAAAAAGTATGTTCTAAAAATTGTTGCACAGTTCTAAATCTAGAGTAATCAGCAAATATTATTATTATTATTATTGGTATTAATATAGTGCAGTGCTTTATAATATTATAAAAATGGGGAAATTTTTTTAATTGACTCCTATAGAATACAGTAAGCCAATGTAAGGACTGACAGAGGTGTGAGGTGCGAGAGGACCGACTGGAGAGAAGAATCAGCCTGGTGGCAGCATTCATAACAAACTGTAGCAAGGCAGTACAGCATCTGGGGAAACCCATTAGGAGGGAATTACAGTAAGCAATGCGTAAAATTACTAGAGCATGAACAAGCTCCTTAGCAGCATTTTGTGTAAGATAGGGGTGGACACGCTTTTAAGTTAAAATCAATAGGTTTTGGCAATGTGAGGTGCAAGGGTGAGGCCAGAGTCAAAGATAAAACCAAGACAGCAGGTTTGCAAGGATGGGCTGATGCAGGTTCCATCAACTTGCATCGAGAGAGAGAAAGAGAATGATCAGTTTAATGAAGGGGAAAAGCAAGAAGACAGTTGTGAGGCCGGTTGATGTATAGGACGAGGGGGGAAGGCAAGTGCCCAGGATCAGCAGGAATGGTTGGCAAGGGTGTGGAACTGGGAATGTTTATGGTTACATTATGACAATGTATGGTTAATAAGTTATGGATTTTTATTTGATAATGATAATAAAGCTGTGGCCTTTGTGCTGCTTATTATGGTGGGCATGTCATATTCGCAATATTGTAATAACTCTGAACTACAACTATACCCGTTCTCCAGATTTCTCTTCTTTTTATTCCATTAAGTTCTTCTGAGTGCAGTACTGCTATTTTGTAAGAGTTTTCAGAACTGGAGAACATTGCTGCTGGCACCAAGAACTTGGAGCACATTTACTGCCATGGTGGAATTAGCAATTTGTTTCCTGCAGCTTTTGGGACATTTTGTAAACTTGTTTTTATTAACGCATTGCATTTCTTTATTTTTTAGTTTTCCCTTAGTTTGAGTAACAGCACATACTTTATTTCATACATTGGCCAAGAAAAGAGCCAGCTGAGCCAGGACAATAGGAGGATTTTCTATCATTAGAAAATCAATTGTGCCCACTAGTGCTTCAGGTTAACAAAGTGATTGCCCCACATTTAGAACTTTGCACCACTTTTTAAATCACAGCACTTTAATAAAACTCCCCCTAGAGCTTCATCCTATTTGTGATGTCACTAACTATAGAAAAAGTCTAGTCAAACCACACTAAATAAGTGTGAAATATGGTTATGATTCAGATAGCATGGAGACCTCATCAACAAATATTACTATTACTGTAACCACATTAGCCATTGAAGATGACATCTTAAAAGATACAGTAATCAGTTGTATGAGTTAAACTGTTAATGAAGTCAAACTAAATAATTATGACCCAGTTGTACTGCAGCGCTAGTCCTTACAAGGACTTTTCCTCCGCTGGATCCATGAAGACAGGAACACAGGAACAAGGCGCTGAAATGTGAATAGCTC